ACTGAACCATATTTCCCCATTAGTTGAGAAAAGCAGACTAGACTCCCCACCCTCCCCAGCCTCTCAAAGCGCCCACATCCTCTCCCCACAGTGGCTACAAAGGGAGGATCAGCAGCCACTAACTAACCTCAAGTTCCCAGTCCTCAGGCTCTGGGAAAGTGAGGAGGCCTGAACTGTGAGCCCTGGGCCCTGCTCTACTCAGGGACCCAGAACAGCTGCACCCTGAACTCCTTAGATCCAAGCCCAGACAGTTCTGCATGGATCTTGATCCAGGAGCACAATTTGGAGTCTGGGAAGGAGAACAGCAGGAAACTCATGGCCCCCAAGTCTCAAGTGTGAGGTGATCAGGGCTAAAGGCTGCCTGGTGATCTGTCTGTGAAGAAGACATTCCTATCCATAGACTGTGGACATGGCCTTGGGTTCATCCCTGAGCAGGAACAGCTCCAGAGGACACAGCATAGAGAGAAAGAAAAAACAACAATAACAACAACAACAAAAACCTAAAATGTCTCAAAAAAAAAAAAAAAGCCCAAACCTAAAATGTCTCTCTGGAGGACAGAACATTGAGAGAAAAAACCAAATAAACAAACCCTACAAAGTCTCCAGGAAGCGGGAAGAATGTGTTTGGGGATTCTCTCCAGAGTCAGGAACCCAGCACAATCACAACTTCCTGTGAAGGCTGATGACACAGGGACAATATTTCTTTCATACAGAGACTTTCAAATTAAAATGTTAGGCTGGAAGTGAGCCAAGCTGAGAGCCCAAGCTCATAGGACCTTCCGATGTGGCCTGATTCACTTAGCAGTATTTCTGGGACTCTCACAAACAAAACTAACACTTGGTTTATATTAAAAAATAAAAAAGCTCTTGCCCTGCCCTTTCTTTGACCTAGGCTTTTACTCACCAGCTTGGTTTCCATCAGTGAACCCACAAAAGATACATTGAACACATTTGAAAAAAAAAAAGTCCCTTAGTCACCTGTGAAGTGCATACTTGCTTACTTGGCAACACTTGTACTCACTAGTGGCTTCGTTTTCAGAAGACCTCGCCCACATCCTCAGATATGACTTCGCTCCCAGGAGCCTCTTTCTTCTGACTCTCGTGTTCTGAATCTCCTTTAATCAACTCTGATTCTGCTCCAGACTCACTCATCCTGCAATTCTTTTCTGTGGTGAAGTCAAGACTCTGGCTTCACCTCAGCAGAGCTCTCTGGGGGACTCCTGAGGATGGTGGCAACAGTAGAAAGCAGTGTTTTCACCCAGGGAGAACTTAGCAGTCTGAGCCTGAAGCTGGTGAAACAGGCAGGTCCCTGGGAGAACAAGAGCAGGAATACATTAGATAGGACCCCGAATGAGAGCCCGCTGAGAACAGGGTGGACCCTGGGCACTCCTGTCTTTCCTCTGGCTGCCAGACTCACACCAGTCTGCAGATGGTCATGAAGTCAGCCCCAGAGATGATTTTAATGAGTGTGGGCTACAGATACGGCTTTCAGAAATTTAAGCAGTTAAAATGCATGTAGCATTTTAAAAATTTTCCCTGCTCAATCCTCACGTGTCAAAGGGTGAAACTTTCCTGCTGGAATGAATGGGGTTAAGGAGATTATGCAAGTGACCTGGTGGGTTTCATTTATGCAAGTGACTTAGTAATTAGTCTCATATTCTGGGACATCAAATGAGCCAGTTCAGGCTAATTAGAGCTGCAACACTCTTCTGTCCATGGCGACTTGGTAGAATGAGAAAAATCATACAACAAGGTCGCCCACCAAACCCTGAAACTTCTCAGATTCCATACGGTGTGATCATTTTACTCCTTCTCAACACCACACTCAAACACTCACTTGTGGTTGTTTAACCAGCACCAAACTGTTAGCTGGGTGGACGCATGAATGACTGGAAGGACGCTGTGGTTGGAAAAATCACTGAAGAGGAAATCTTAAGAAGTTGCTCTAGGCTGGGGTGTGGACAGTTTAGTTATTGAAGTGTTTGCCTTGCAAGCATGAGGACCTGAGTGAGCTTGGTTCCCAGAACTCACATTCCAAAACTTAAATTAAATTATAAGCCACCAGGTAGGTGCTGTGCACTTGGAAGTGAGTGCTGGAGAAGGGAGCTAGGTGGATCCCTGGGGCAGCTGGCAGGCATCCCACCGTAGTGGGCAGGTTCCGAGCCCAGGGACCTGAGGAATGGTGCGCAAGGAAACCTCTGCACTCCACACACCTTCCTGAATGTCTTAGACTTCGGAGTTACCGGAAGTGCAGAGCGGTGTTTACAGTATGGTAACAACTGTCTGTACCCGTGTCGATTTCAGAGAAGGCAGTATCTGGGAGGAGACCTAGGCATTTTTAAAAACCAGAAATAAAACAAGCCAGATTTGTCTTTCTTCTGAGAGTGAATATTGCAGGTTTGGGCGAGGAGGGGTGGTGAAAAAGGTCTTGGCAACCGAGGGAAACAAAAACTCTGCCCTCTGCCAGACTGGGCGGAGAGACATCCTGCTCAGTCATCACCTGCGTATCCTCACATGCTCCTCAGGCTATAAGTGACCCCAGCTACGGCATTAGCTTTAGTCTTCCACTCCTGTTTCTTCAGGTGTGGATAAGTTCTGAGAAGGGACCTCCGAAACCTTGGAGGACATGGGGACACCTGGGCCAGTTAGGTGTCCACAGTCTCAACCTCTGTTTGCCGCTGACCTTGAATAGAAAAGAATCATCGAGTTTCGCGAAGAAGCGGGTTTCTGGAGAAATCTGCAGTCATCTGTCCGAATTGCTTAGGCTTCCTCTCAGCTCTCTCAAAAGCTCAAACTGTGGTTGCTACCAGCTGGGAACGGAATAAAGATCCATGATCTGGGTTGCAGTCCCCAAGCGCATTCCTTTTGCTGTGACATTGCATCTGTTCCTCCCGATTCTGCAGGGCTGTCAAAGTGCACCTCTCCACTTAGCTGAGTTCCTGGAATCAGACTGGGCTATGGGGGTGGGAGAGGAACAGACTTAGAGCCACAGTGACTAAGAGAGCTGGTCTTCCCTGTCGAACCGCTCCTGACCCTCTTCAGCCACCTTCCATTTCTGCTGACTCTTTCTGAGTCCCCAAACTTGTTCTCCATCACACCCAGCTCAGTTCCAGGACTTGTAGAGGAGCCAAAGAGTAACATAACCAAGTTAGTGCAGAGTGGGAGCTAGAGGAAATGGGAGGTCAAGAAGGCAGATAGACATCAATAAACAGTGCCGTGACTGGATGTGAAGGGCTCACCAATGATGGAGGAGGGTTATCTGTCTATTGTGTTATTTTCATTGATCAATAAAGAGACTGCCTTGGCCCCTTGATAGAACAGAAAATTAGGTAGGCAAAGTAAACAGAATAGAATGCTGGGAAGAGGGCTATGAGGCAGATGCCATGGAGCCAGCCACCAGGTCAGACATGCTGAATCTTTTCCGGTAAGCCACCACCTCGTGATGCTACACAGATTATTAGAATTGGGTTAATCAAGATGTGAGAGTCAGCCAGTAACTAACTCTCTAGAGATAATGGGCCAGGCAGTGCTTAAATGAATACAATTTGTGTGTTGTTATTTCTGGGACTAAGCTAGCCATGCGGGAGCCGGGTGAGGCGAAAAGCAGGCCTGTCTGTAGCTCCCTACTACACACCAAGCGATATCTCTAGGAAGTCAGCAGACCTTCTCCTGTTACCCAGGCTTTGTGCTCTCTGTGAACTACGTCCTCATCCCCTACAAGTTCAGCTGGCCCCACTGATCCGGATTCCTATGTGCTGACCCAGGGAAATGTTTTCCTATTTGTGGTGATTCCCCTGCAGACTTTCCAGCAGGCGGGCTAAAAATGATTCAGGAAGAGCCAAGAGTGAAGCTCGGCTCAGTCCAATTATGTTGTAACCGGTGCTGGATCAGGACTTCAAGAGTCTGGCCCAGATCATTTTACTTTAGCCATATTTAAGCACAGCAAAATGTTTTTTTTTTAAATAAAAGTATTTAGATAACAATTAGCTCAGCCCCAAGTGCACATTTAAGACATGTTTACATTGAGATTTCTTACAAAGTACATTTGGTCTTTTACAGGAGCGGGTACTGTCGACTAGAAACTTTCAGAATTCAATGGACCATTCTTGCGGGTCCTTGAAAATAAGAATTTTGAAATTAATGTGGATAATATAAGGACAGTTCCAGAGGTTTCTGGTGGGAGCAACAACTTTACTAAGAATTGGGATGGGGCTTAGTGTGATGTTTGCTAGATAGTGTCCATGATCTAGGCTCTAGGGAGTTTGACTGAGGTAAACATAATGCCTATGGGTGTGGGGATTGTCCTGGTTCTAAGGAGACACAGAAGTCACTCGGGCTGTTGTAAAGCACAAGGGACATCACTCTTAAAAGCGGGTTTTATGCTCTAAAAGCATGCTCAAGATTTAGGGGGACCGGTCCTGAATAAGTTAAGTAAAAAAACATAGATTCTGGGAGCCTGTCTCATCAGACAGTGAAGGATCAACCAGGTTGCAAAATGACACCATTCCTAAAGACCCAGGAAGAGCAGTCCTGCACCTCACTCTATTGAACAGGTAAGCTGTGCGTTAAACTTCCCAGGGGTCTCCAGTGCTTATTTGTCTGTGTGCACAAGGCTCTTTGTTCTCTAACCTATTATCCCTGAGTGGTACTGATCTCTTATCAATCACAGATGATTCTTCAACCCTAGCTTGATCATGCAACAGTGATTCTTAGCTTAAACATCACACTAATAGCCCCATCCCGGTTCTTAGCAAAGCCCTTGCTCCCACCAGAAACCTCTGGAACTGGTCTTCCACTATCCACATTAATGTCAGAATTCTTATTTTCTAAGGACCCACAAGAATGGCCCATTAAACTCTGAAAGAACGTTCAGTAAGTTTCCAGCCCAAAATTCCCGAGACTCCCGCCCCCATTTCTCCCCAAAGCAGCACTGTCAGGTTATCACAGAAATAGCCCCACTTCTCTGGGACCAGTTTCTGCCTGGTTTCATTTCTGTCGCTATGACAAAAACCGTGACCAAAAGCAACTTGGGGGAGAAAGGCTTTTCTTGGCATCTAATTCCACGCTATACTCCATTATGAAAAAAAAAAATAAGTAAGAACTTAAACCATCACATTTATAATCAAGATCAGAGAGAGAGAAACATATCCATGTTGCCTTTTGTTTTTTTGCTTGTTATGGTCAATTGTTCTGGTCTCATGTAATTCAGCACTCCCTACCTGAAAATGATGCTGCCTAGGGACTGAGCTGGGTATTCTAACATCCATTAGCTTAAGACAACCCTGGGTCCTGGGCCGTAGGTCCTTATGGGCGGGTTCAGTCATGCTCTGTCATTGTATTTTTCTGTTCCACCTGCCAGAGTCCTAAAAAACCACTCTGAGATTTCTTGCTACTTTACAAAAGCTTAGCTGATAGCTTAGGCTTGTCCTAACTAGCTCTTATAACTTAAATCAACCCACTTCTATTAACTTACTTCCTACCTCGTGGCTTTGCCTTTGCTCTGACCCTGCCCGTGTTGCTTCCTCTGAGTCCTGGCGTCTTCTTGAGACCCTGCCTTTCTTCTTCCCAGAGTCCTCTGTGTCTAGCTGTCCCACCTATACCTCCTGCTTAGCTAACAGAAGTTTAGTTTTTCATTACACAACAAGAAGGCACCTTGTTTTCATTAAACAACAAGAAGGCACCTTGGCAACAACACATCTTCATAGTGTACAAAATGGTTATTCCACAACAATGCTCTCCGTAAATATATTGTCTCTGGCTGCTTTCAAGCCAGAGGAGCAGAGATAAGCAGGTATAACTGAGACCATCTGACCTGCAAAGACATCATGATTGACCAGATAGCTGTATTAGTTACCATGCCCAAAGTAGCACACAGAAGGAAGGGTTTAGGGAGCCTTATATTTTCAGAGGACAAGAGTTGATCATTCACAGCAGAGAAGCATGGCAGGAGGCATGCATGGTAGCTGAATCAGAGAGCTGAGAACTCACATATTTTTTGTTTGGTTTGGTTTTGGTCTCACATTATAATTACAACTGTCCTAGAACTTGCTATGTAGAACAGGGTGGCCTCAGACTAATAAAGATCAACCCGCTCCTGCCTATTAAGTGCTGGGAGAAGAGGCAGTTGACACCATGCCCAACTGAGAGCCCACATCTTAAACCTCAAGCATGGTCCAGAGTTGAAGAAATGGGAATTGTCTTCAAGGCCACACCCCCAGCAACATGCTTCATTTAGCAAGGCTTACCTCCTATCCAAACAGCTGCTGCCACCTGGGGACTGAGTATTAAACACCCTATTCTATGGAGGACAGGATCGTTCAAATAACCACATTAGACATTCACAGTAACATCTCAGGGTTGATACCTGAGTGACAGAGCAGTAGCAATGGAGAAAGAATGACTGCTCATGCTGCCAGGCTGAAAGGTCACTGTTGCTGGAACCTGATCTGTCCCTGTAGGAGGGCAATCTAGGTCTGTCTTTGAGGTGGTCTGGTTAAATTGTCTTACAGATTTATATTTTGACTTCATGTAAGTATGTGCACCACATATGTGCTTAGTGCCCTTAGAGGATAAAAGGGGGCAATGGGTCCCCTGAAACTGGAGTTGCAGGCAGTGGTGAGTCACCATGTGTGATTGTTGAGAATGAAACCTGGATCCTCTACTAGAGCAACAAGTGGCCTTAACCACTGCACCATCTCCCTAGCCCCAGTGGTTCAGTTTAAACAATGGACACGGGAGTTGGGATTTTCATGGGACAGCAGCTTTCACCTTCTTGATCATCTGTTTAATCTTTAGTTATTAAAACTCACCCACATCTGGATTGACTAAACAACTATCTATATTTAGGATTTTTCTGTTCTGTAAGCCATGACCCCCTTAAGCAGTCAGGCTTCAAGGTGGGTCCCCCTAACTCATCAATAAGCCACTGTCCTTGATGTTACTGCCTCCTGACCACTCCACCTAATGGAATTTTTTTGTACCATGTTATTAGGATTCAGGAATACCATATCTAATCCCACCCCAGCCTTGATCATCATCATCATCCCTGAGCTTCCAACAATGCTGGTGCCCTTCTCCCTGGTCCTTCTTCCTGTGCTTTTCAGCAGGGATGCTCCAGCATCCACAAAGCAGCATGGGCTCTGCACACTTCCCCTGGAAATGTTTGCTGTTCCATCCACTCTGGCACATGCACTTCTCTGAGATTTTTTTATATCACTCTTCTACTATCAGATTTAACCAGCCTAGGTTTTCTTTATACTGTAGTGTAGGCTAGCCTCTGACCAGTCCAGGAAGGCTTCCCTGGAGCACTGCAGTACGTCCAGGGGATCTGGAGTGTATTGTTCTGGTTTCATTATGTTACTGTGATAAACAGTCGACCAAAGCAATGTAAGGAAGAAACTGATTTATTTGACTCCATTTCTAAGCCATAGTCTGTCACTGAGGGAAGTCAGGGCAGGTACTCAGAAGCAGGCTCACTTGCTATAACACACAGGATTATCTATGAACAAGGAACTGACTTCACAGCCAGAGAGGCTCAGCAGAAACCATGAAGGATGCTGCTTGCTGTCTGATTCTCTAGCTCCTGCATAGCTAGTTTTCTTATCCAGCCAGAGACCACCTGCCCAGGGAATGGTAATGCCCACAGTGGTTGGGCATTTCTACATCATTAACATTCAAAACAGTCCCTGAATACACACTCCCTTCCCAGTCTAGGCTTTATCAAACTGGCAGTTAGAGCTAACCAGCACAGATGTTCAAGTCTGTGATCTGAGTACAGATCAGTAAAAATGGTGTCCATGCAACCTGTGTTCCATCCTCACCCTGCTCCACTCTGCCCCACCAACCTCACGCACCATCCTGTCTCCACACAGTCTACATGAGCAGCTTCTGGAGATTCTACAGAATGAACAGATCCTGAGAGGACATCCTAAATTTTCCTGTCATAACTGACAGGGCCCACCCCTAACATGATCATGTGATAACAGATAAGAGAATTTTCCTAGTGGAGAGCAGGGTTTGGCCACATCTTAAGCCCTGCATCTTCAAACAAGAAAGAATGGCTAAAATTTTTAGCACAGTGCAAATTTAGATTGGTATTTAATTTTATTTGCTTATTTCTCTCTTTGTTTTTTAAAGACATGTTTCCAAAGGACTTTCTTGATCCACTGGAAGACACTGTCCCTGAGCCCCTGCTCCACATCCCTAACCTCACTGCATGTTTCCTTCACAGAGGCTGATTCTCTTTGCTACAGCTTCACTGTTGGCAAGTCCGGGTCTGGACCATGGTGGCACAAAGTCCAAGGTCAGCTGAATGAAGATACTTTTATTTCCTGTGACAGTAACAACTGCCATGCTGTTGGTCGTCTGGGAAACAGACTGGATGCTACAAAGACCTGGGAGACACAGATTGACACTCTGAAAGATGGAGTTGACTTGTTCAAAGATCAGGGCATTCAGATGAAGCTGGAGAATAATGCAATGAGAGGTGAGTTTCAAATGACCCCACAGGGCTGGGGATTAGCTCAGTGATAGAGTGCTTGCCCAGTATGCATGAGGCCCTAGGTTCTATCCCTACTCTACAAATTAAATAAAAGAACAATCAGATGACTCCTGAAGGAAATAACAGGATTTGTGACAGTTTAGAAACATTCATTATCTTCATGGAGAAAAAAAAATGAATCACTGGTAGTCCCTAAGAGTTCCAGGAGCAAGGCTAATATGTGAAGGGTAGAGCAAGGTCAGAGGATGGGAAGGGAAGGGACAGGATTCATCAAGGCATAGGCTAATCTCTTTCCAATGGGCACAGAGCCCTTCACTCTGCAGGCCACTATATGTTGTAGGAGTGAAGGAGGTGAACATGTTAAAGAATCCTGTGACATTGACCTCAATGGACGGAAAATGTTGCACCTTGACTTAAACACTAAAAAGTGGACTGAAGTTAATCCTGGATCCAGCTGGATGGAAACAATGTTGAAAGAAAACAAGTTTTTGACAGAATTCTTATACAAGACATCACAGGGAGACTGCAGGTCCTGGCTTGAGGAGTTCAAGTCATACTGGGAAGAAAAGCTGGAATCTATAGGTAACTAAGAAGAAGGGGAGGAAACTTTCTGGAGATGAGGGAATGTGTGTGTGTGTGTGTGTGTGTGTGTGTGTGTGTGTGTGTGTGTGTGTAATAATCTAATCACCCTGAGTTCTTGGGTTTATGGTCATTTTTTCCATCATTCATTTTCTTTCTCCCCTTCTCTATTTCATTCGTTATTTACTCACTGTGGTTCTCACTGTCAGTCTGAGCATCTGTTGACTAAATTTTCTGTCCTACCTGGTCCGGCAGTCATTCAGTCCCAAAGAAACACACAGAGGTCAACATTAATTATAAACTGGTTGGCCTATTAACTCAGGCTTCTTATTAACTCTTTCTTACATCATATATTAACCCATTATTCTTGTCTGCACTAGCCACATGGTTCGGTACCTCATATCAACCAGGCCCTCTCATCTTGCTTCCTCTGCAGCTGGGTGATGACTGCAGATCTCTCCTCTTCCCAGAATTCTCCTGTTCTCGTTGCCCTGCCTATTCTTCCTGCCTGGCTACTGGTCAATCAGCATTTTGTTAAAATAAAATTGCTGGTATAGACCATTGTCCCACTGCAAGCACCCTTGTGTTTCCTGACCTTTTCCCCATTCTAGACTCACTGCTGCTTTTCATCTCCCCTGATCTTTCTTCTTCCCTGACACCATCTTCACAGGTAGCTCCTCTCCTGACAGAGGAAAGATGAGGCTCCACTATAACCCTGCTTCCCCTATCATAGTTCCGTGAGTCATCTGAAGTTGGGTAATATGCCCTCTCTCCCCTGCCACTTAGGACCCACCCAAACAGTTGTTGCATAGGGACGGGGGGGGGGTGAAATGCTGTGGGATGCTGAATGACCTGAGAACCCAGAAGCTTAGAATTGAGGTCTGGACAAAGACTCAATTGTGTTTCCACTTCAGCCTTGCCAACTGCTGCACCAGATGTGGACCAGCCTTCGTCCATGGTCAGAAAGCCCAACATCTCTGTCCTGCTGATAATCCTCATGAACTTTCTCCTATTTCTCCTACAATATTTGTAGTGACAGGTACCTAGCACAGTGCTGGGAGTGGTGTAAGGGACAAATGATGGAGAAGTGGGGAAGCAAGAGTGAATTCCTGGGATCTTGCTCTTGTCCCTCAACTCTAGGATCTTACTGAGAAAGGAAGCAGGAGATCTGGAGTTCATGTCACCTGCTAGCAGTAGCTTGTACATCCCCAGCCTTGTCAGGACAGGAATCATGTCACAGAGCAGTGGGCAATGAGGAGGGAACACAGCAGGTGTCTGTTCAGAGCAGGGTTCCAATCAGAAGGATCCCATGATGCAGGTGTGGAGACAGGAACACAGAAGAACATGATAGTCCCATTCAATGTGTAGAAGGAAGAGGATTCCACCCACAGATAAAATTAAAAAGATATAAATGAAGATATGGCCCAGTGACAAGAACACCTGCTGCTCATGCATCAGACACAGGTTCTGTTTCCAGAACCCACAAGGCAATCACAATCATACAGCTCTAGGTCCAGGGGATCCAGCCCGTTCTTCTGCACAGGCCCCAGGCATTCACACAGTGCACTTACAGATGCGCAGGTTCACACTCATACACAGAAAATAGAAGTGAATCAAGCAGCAGCAACCTCTAGAACCCCTATAGCAGTGTTGCCACCGGAGGCCGGTGGACTGAGATGCTGTTGAAGTCCACTGTTCCCATTTGGGCTGCTCAGATGAACAAGATGGGGCAAGGACAGTCACACCCACAGCTGTAATGCCACTGTCAGATTTTGAGAGTTTTAGAAAGGGAAATGATGTCTGGAACCCCACTCAAGGCCTGGAAAACCGGGACCCAGGGCCCTCTTTGAATAGGGCTCTTCCCTTCTCCTCCAGCCCCTCCCATCAGCCCCTGAGTCAGGAAGCAGAGCTGGTCATCACCACTTTATTCTGATCTCCAGGTCTGCAGCAGGGTCTGGGTCTCTGGGACATGGGGAAGAAGGAGGAAGACAGTAGGGGATCCAGGATGGAGAGCCCAGGGGTGATGGAGGAGGGAACTGAATGACCCTCAGTGAGGGTGGCTGTGGGTGGTGATGACTGCTATAGGGCACCCAGAAAAACTGACCCAGGCTCTCCTCAGACCCTTCAAAAGACATGTTTCCTTCTGCAGGTTGAAGATGCTCCAGAGAAGTTGTGAGAGTTCATGTGGTGCCGCCACTCTCCCTTCCATCAGCCTCCACCAGATGAATCAGGATGCTGCAGACACAGCATTTCATGGTCTTCACTCTGTGCAGTCACTTGGCCCCTTTCTTACCACCTTGTACTGTTTCTCTTGTGCTCCCTGGTGGGATTTGCTCTTAACATGGAAGGTGAGATCTGGAAAGGAATGTGGTTATGAACCCATCCCAAGCATAGGAAACAAGATAACCAGATCTCCTCAGTGGAAGTGTGAAGTTTTTACTCTTGCATATATAGCTGGCAATAATCAACTATCTCAGGTATCACTAAAGGAAACCTCTAACAACTAATCATAATAAATGGAAATTGAGGACCAGTTGTTTAGTAGAAATCACTGGTAACTGTACCAGGGTCCCAGACCTTAGAACAACTGACTCCATGATGGAAGTGCCATTCAGGCAGTAAAACTCAGCACATAGGGAATGGAGAGATGGCTCAGTGATTAAGAGCATTGCCTGCTCTTCCAAAGGTCCTGAGTTCAATTCCCGGCAACCACATGGCGGCTCACAACCATCTGTAATGAGGTCTGGTGCCCTCTTCTGGCCTGTAAGCATACATGCAGACAGAATATTGTATACATAATAAATAAATAAATAAATATTAAAAAAAATTCAGCACATTGATAGCACTACCCGCCAAAACAAAAACAGTGGTCTAATCTATCCAAGTCCACAGTTAAGGGAAAGTCTCTGAATGTACTAACCTTGCTTTTTGGCTTTTTCTTTTTCTGGTTAACTGTTCTTGTTAACAGAAATGTGTTGACCCAGCACATGGTTTTTGTGCTTAAAAGCTGTATCTGAGGAAATCCTTGGCACTACACTGGGAACCCAATCACCCAGTATAGTTGCTGACCAGCTAATAAAGAGTTCCTATTAACCTGAATCCATGTCTGGGCAGTTTTCTTTGGTGAGTACCCCATCAGATTCCATCAAGATTCCAGAGCAAGATCTCAAGACACCGGAGATCTCAAAAATCCTGGGAGCAGGGAAGACTGTGGGGGTCAAGGAGCCCCTTGGGCAGTAGTCCTCAACCTGTGGCTCACAACTCCCTTTGGGGGTTGAACCGCCCTTTCAAAGGGGTCACACACCAGATGCCCTGCGTATTAGATATTTACATCATAATTATAACAGCAGCAAAATTGCAGTTATAAAGGAGCAATATGGTTGGGGGTCATCACAACATGAAGAACTGTGTAAAGGGTCACAACATTAAGGAAGGTTGAGAGCTATTGTCTTAGGGGATGTACAACCTGAGCTCCAGGTCCAGGGCTCCCTTTGATCGATTACTGCCTAATGCTTCAGAGGAGCCCGATGTCTCCACCCCAGAAGGAAACAAATTAGAATGTCACCTGTCTGTCACCTCTAGAGTTAAGTCTGGTTAAGGCCCCTTCTCTTTGAACGCATAGGAGAGGTCTGACAAGGTCACTGGTCCAGTGTCAGGAATCTGTGAGGTGTCATTGGATCCCTAGTCTGTCCAGGTGTGGCGGTCACCTTTGGTTGTCTTCACTCTGTGCGTGTTTGTGTGGTTTTGCGTGTCTGTATTTCTGTTTGTGTGTGTCCTGTCAGTTCTGGTTCTCTGTGGCTTTCTTTGCTGTGAGAACCCCCTGGCTTAAGACCTGAGCCGCTCTTATTGGAGACCAAATCTTTTTAGGTCCTGCCAAGTCACCTAGAGAGACAAAAACAAACAAAACACCAGCAGAAACAAGAACTCAGCACGTGTCCCACTCCCTGAATGGGGGCATTTTCTTTGTGCAATGTTTGACTCTTGCTCATGGTCAGGACTGGTCTCTGTGTGGAGGTGAGGAGAGGCCAGGCTTCTCCTTCAGGCCCCTCTGCATCTAGTGCAGTGCACACATGAAGAGGAAATAGTTCCCCAGGTGAGCATTCCCTCCACTCCATGTCTGTTCTAAGCAGCCCTGGGTAGGGAAAACTTCCTATGAGCAGAACCTGAAGTAAAAAGAAAGTTCCACTCCTTTCTCTTTATGATGTATGTCTTCTTGTCAGCAAATAGTCCATATAATTGGAAAGCTCAAGACCCACCATTCTCTGGGGGAAAAAAATGAAAAACCACCCCAGGACGTGGCAGGGGAATCACTGTCAGAAGATACAGCCTGGACAGAAGGACTTTCCCTTCTGTCCAACACTGACCAAGGAGATTTTACACAATTTTTAAATGGTAATTTTAGAAAGATTAAATGTGGTAAAATGATTTCCTTTGTCACCTTGTCAGCCCTAGATCTTAGAAAAATTTATAAATGTTAAAAAAGTTATAAGTATAAGCAGGTCCCAGTTTCTGGAGGTAACTCAAAGGTATTTAACAACAGAGAACTGACTGGGATAAGACCTTTTGCATAAACTGAAGCCCCCATCACCTTCTCTGATGATAGTTAGATTTACAGACATCCAGCAAAATGTTGGTGTCTTACCCTCTGTCAGAAAAACATCTCCTACCTGAACACTCTTCCTCCAATTGAAAGATAAAGTTGAATTATATCTCTGCTTGACAACAATGATTCCATGAAGGGGTCATCTACATCATATTCCCTGCCCCCATGACTCAGGAACCATCATGAAGAAAAGAATGCCCAAGTCAGTGTTTACAGTACAGTACTTATTTTTTCTTTCTTTAAAGGTTTATTGTTATTTTATATGTGTTCATCTCCATTGTTTACTATTATCAACTGTTTGTAGTGTTTTCCTGCACATTGGAATGTGCACCCTGTATGTGCATTGCTGGCAGAAGGCAGAAGAGGCATCTGATACGCTAAAACTGGAGTTATACAGTTGTGAGCCACCATGTAGGTGCTGAGGATTCAACCCAGGTCCTATGGAAGAGCAGTCAGTGCTCTTAACCACTGAGCCACATCTCCAGCCCCTAAAATAAAGGTTTTATTGTTTTGTTTTAACAAAGACACAAAGTTGGGAAGTGATGAGGTTGGATCTGGGAGGAGTAAGGGGAAACTGTTGGCCATAAATATGATCAAAATACGTGTGTGTAGATGTGACGATCTCAATGAATAAAAATAAGGTAACTAAAAGTAAAAACCTACAGCCAGACACTATGCAGAAAATGAGGGCCCTTGGAACACTCAGCCCTAAATTGGATATCTCCAATAAATCCCACTCTTAGAGCTCAGGAAACCCTCTGGAAAGTGTAGATAGAAAGAGCGTAAGAGCCAGGGAGGTATGGAGGACACCAACACCAAGAAAACAAGGTCTTCTACATCAGCACGAACAAAGCCCACAGGAACTCACAGGGACTGAAGAAGCATGCACAGGGCCTGCACTGGTCTGCACCAGTTCATGGTTTTCTGTTCAGTGTTTTTATGAGATTCCAGACCATGGAAACAAGGTTATCTTTGGCTCTTGTGTTCTCTCTTGGGCTCTTTTCCTTCTGTTTGTCTGTATTGTCTTACTTTGTTGCAGTAGTTTTTGTTTTATTTGCTACAGTTTTTAAAAGTGGGTGAATGAATATATCAGTGAATGAATGAATGTAAACCTAACCACTAGGATAAGGGTTGACAATGGACCTGTCATGTTTACCTGTTGAGAGAGGGATAATTGGTTTTCTCTGATGGAAATGACACTGGATATATCAAGCACTTTAGAGCAGAACACATGATCAGGAGTAGTTGACCAACAAAGAAAGGATGCAATAGCTTTTGTATGTGGATACTTTTATTTAGTTACAGTTGGGTGGTTTTTCCTTTTTGTCTTTTTTTTTTTTAGGTTATGTTGCATTTTATTTTCTAGGATTTGGGGCATTTGTAGCTGCATTAACATTTTGGGTTGTTTTCTGAAAAATAACTTAAAATTG